AAAGTAATTTCCCTGACATTTTTGTGTTACTTTACTTTTAATAGACCCATGTAAGAGGTTTTATACTTCCTGTGAGTATAATCCAATCAATCTTATTTTCATACTGTATATCCGTTGTGTAATTTGATAAATTGTGTTGTATGTCGTGCTCGCATCTCAGAGAAGACTCTGACTGCAACATGCGTCTTTGTAAAGAGAGAAACGGACAGAAAAAGTCTCTAACTCTGCCTGTCAGCTCGCTCTGCTCCGTTAAAACTGAATTTACCATACAGAATTGAATACGAGTGCACTCCAGATTTAGCTGCAGCCAGCTGACCGTGTGCTTCTCCCTATACCGCAGTTCTGTGTCCATGCATGCAGCAAACTGAAAGCACTGTCTGTCGGAGCGTCTACGTGAAAAGAGAAGGAAGACATTGCTGGTAGTATTGTCTTCAGAGTTGTTAAACACCTCAGCGCACTGAAGGAAGCCATCTGACTGTGTGAGGGGCAAGATCGTTGATGTCTGCAGGTAGAGTAGGAGCTCTCCTGTCTGACTGGTCCACCAATAGCAGAGAAGATGACCCCTTGAGACACAGCCCCTCCTCATTTGCATAATGAGGCAGAAATGCATACAAAAATTTAAAAAAGACAGGCAGAAATAAATACCATGGGTGAAAATAAATAAGGTAAATAAATACAAAGGAAGAATAAAACAGACAAAAATATTAAAACACACACATAAATAAATACATTAAAAAAATTAGTAATAAATAAAGTTGAATAAACAAATAAGGTAATTATAACAAAGGTGAATAAGTAAAGGCACTAATTAAAATATATACATTTATGTCTCCTTGTATAATTTAATTACTACCTACATTTATTTATTTACTTAATTTTTTGTGTATTTAATTGGATGCTTATTTATTTATTGAGCTTATTTATTTCTGTATTTATTTCTGACTGTGTCAGGATCGGTCCTCCATAGCGGGGTGGGAGAGTTATCAAGCACGTAAAGTTTGGTTCAGATGTGAGCATGTACACTGAAGTTACAACAACTTCCTGTGTCATGGCGAAGACTTGATCTCTGACGCCACGCCACGGACACACCCATTGACGAAAACTCGCAAATAGCACAACTTTTCATCTTCAATGCCTTTAGAAGGCACAGCAGAAATTTGAAGTCGGTCGGACTAAATCCCTAGGAGGAGTTCGTTAAAGTACGAAGTGTGTAAATCATCCAAAATTTGACGTAAAATTCAAAATGGCCGACTTCCTGTTGATTTTAGGGCATCGCTCCAAGAGGCTTTTTTGTGCGTCTGGACAAGATACACGTACCACAGAAAATTCGTGCACGTAGGTGAAACGTGCGGCGGGGGCTGCTTCGTTAAAAGTCACTTCCTGTTGCCAGCAGGTGGCGCTATGACTGTCTGTGAATGTCAGCATGTACATGTGTTCAGGGCGGGACTCTCATCCTACATGTACAGTTTGGTCCAGATGTGAGCATGTACACTGAAGTTACGACAACTTCCGTGTCATGGCGAAGAGCTGATCTTTGACGCCACGCCACGGACACGCCCATTGACGAAAACTTCCAAATAGCACAACTTTTCATCTTCAATGCCTTTAGAAGGCACAGCACAAATTTGAGGTCGGTCGGACTAAATCCCTAGGAGGAGTTCGTTAAAGTACGAAGTGTGTAAATCATCCAAAATTTGACGTAAAATTCAAAATGGCCGACTTCCTGTTGATTTTAGGACATCGCTCCAAGAGGCTTTTTTGTGCGTCTGGACAAGATACACGTACCACAGAAAATTCGTGCACGTAGGTAAAACGTGCGGCGGGGGCTGCTTCGTTAAAAGTCACTTCCTGTTGCCAGCAGGTGGCGCTATGACTGTCTGTGAATGTCAGCATGTACATGTGTTCAGGGCGGGACTCTCATCCTACATGTACAGTTTGGTCCAGATGTGAGCATGTACACTGAAGTTACGACAACTTCCGTGTCATGGCGAAGAGCTGATCTTTGACGCCACGCCACGGACACGCCCATTGACGAAAACTTCCAAATAGCACAACTTTTCATCTTCAATGCCTTTAGAAGGCACAGCACAAATTTGAGGTCGGTCGGACTAAATCCCTAGGAGGAGTTCGTTAAAGTACGAAGTGTGTAAATCATCCAAAATTTGACGTAAAATTCAAAATGGCCGACTTCCTGTTGATTTTAGGGCATCGCTCCAAGAGGCTTTTTTGTGCGTCTGGACAAGATACACGTACCACAGAAAATTCGTGCACGTAGGTAAAACGTGCGGCGGGGGCTGCTTCGTTAAAAGTCACTTCCTGTTGCCAGCAGGTGGCGCTATGACTGTCTGTGAATGTCAGCATGTACATGTGTTCAGGGCGGGACTCTCATCCTACATGTACAGTTTGGTCCAGATGTGAGCATGTACACTGAAGTTACGACAACTTCCGTGTCATGGCGAAGAGCTGATCTTTGACGCCACGCCACGGACACGCCCATTGACGAAAACTTGCAAATAGCACAACTTTTCATCTTCAATGCCTTTAGAAGGCACAGCACAAATTTGAGGTCGGTCGGACTAAATCCCTAGGAGGAGTTCGTTAAAGTACGAAGTGTGTAAATCATCCAAAATTTGACGTAAAATTCAAAATGGCCGACTTCCTGTTGATTTTAGGCTATGGCTCCAAGAGGCTTTTTTGTGCGTCTGGACAAGATACACGTACCACAGAAAATTCGTGCACGTAGGTAAAACGTGCGGCGGGGGCTGCTTCGTTAAAGGTCACTTTCTGTTGCCAGCAGGTGGCGCTATGACTGTGGGTGAATGTCGGCATGTACATGTGTTCAGGGCGGGACTCTCATCCTACATGTACAGTTTGGTCCAGATGTGAGCATGTACACTGAAGTTACAACAACTTCCTGTTTCATTGCGAATCATCGACGCCACGGACACGCCCATTGACGAAAACTCGCAAATAGCACAACTTTTCATCGTCAATGCCTTTAGAAGGCACAGCAGAAATTTGACGTCGATCCGACTAAATCCCTAGGAGGAGTTCGTTAAAGTACGAAGTGTGTAAATCATCCAAAAATGGCCATAAAATTCAAAATGGCCGACTTCCTGTTGACTTTAGGCTATGGGTTCTTGAGGCTTTTTTGTGCGTCTGGATACGATACATGTCCCCAGAAAATTTCGTACATGTAGGTTGAACGTGAACGAGGGGCTAATCATTTCCAATTTTCAAGGTGGCGCTAGCGAGTCATTTTGCCACGCCCATGTGCGAAACTTGTAGAATACGAAATTTTTCACCGGTTCTGACATGTTTGCAATTTTGGTGAGTTTTCGAGTATGTTTAGGCCATGTCATTTGGGCCTACTTTGCAGAAAAAAAAAAAAAAAAAAAAAAAAAAAAATATAATCCGAGCAGATTCAATAGGGACCTCGCACGGTCGTGCTCGGGCCCTAATTAAAATCAAAGCTTCAGTTTTTTGAGTGAACCACGATGGGACAACAAATACACCTTTTATGACCATTTGATTTTGATATATAGCCCAAACACCAGTAAGCTTTGCATCCAGACCTAAAGAGAACAGGTCTTTTTAGCCTCAAATGGCCTATGAAAGTAAACTCCATACATTAATGGGAAAAGAACGTAGATTTATTGGATAGTTGCTGTTGCTTGTTTGCAAACAAGAAGAACTATAAGTGTGGTGCAGATGGTTTTATCACGCTACATCACGCAGCTCTAAAATGTCGATCATCTTTACGTTTTCTTAACATAGACCATGTTGATATAGTTTAAGTACGTGTACGGCTGTACAAGATATTTAATATATTCAGTAGATATATTTTTATGACCCTATTCACAGCCGTACTATTCAAACCAAAAGAACTACTAATATGATGCTAATTTGTATCAAGCTGCGTGGCGCTGCTAGAAGGAATTGTAGTTTCAAAAATATTATTGTATTTCATATAATTGGAAGTTGCAAATACTGAGTGCACACGGGTGGGTTTAAAAGGGTGGGAATCACATTTGTGTAATACGATTTTAAATATCTAATTGTTAAATGGATGAAAATCAAGTTTGACCATATTTGACAGCACCCCCACTTTGTGAGTCTGTCCATATGGGTATAGTCACATAGCTGAAGTCAAGATTACAGGTCAGCTCTCACAAATGGTTAGTTCTCCCTAACAGCCACAATTAATTTTGTACATTATGATTTATTATTTTTATTTGAGTGAATTGGGATGATAATGGGGAAAACAGCAAGAAAGATAGATAAATAAATTAAATTAACACAAAGGTATGGTCACATTTTTGGTTTAATTTAACATTATCTATTTTGTAGCACTGTGCATGTAAATGTCATGTTGAGTCGACCGAGTCCTCCAAGACTTTTAATGAGTCTGTTTCTGTCGCAGCATGAGACTGCCTCTCTAGCCACGTTTGACTACCCGGTGAACGACAATGGCCTGAAGCCTGTGATGGAGCAACATGGCCCGGTGCTGCCCGAGGACCTGGACTTTATAAAGGAACAGATTGCTGGACCGACCGCTGGACACTAATGCAGCTCAAGGCCAGAAGGTACCGTCCAGTTCTGCCTGTGTGAAATCATCATTGCTCCAACAACCAGTGTGTGTGATTTGTATAGAAAAGTAACTTATAACACGATCCATAAAATATTTATCCCAACTTTCCCACAGTCTCTTAACTAATCGACTGCTGTTGAAAGTCTGGTAATGGTTCCAACTTGGAACCGGTTCTTGATACCCAACCCTATTTCAGATATGATGGTGCCTGACCTTTTAAGGGCTTTTTAGGTGACCAGAAGGATTTTAAATTATATTCTGGATTTTACAGGGAGCCAGTGCAGAGAAGCTGGTGTGAGAAATATGTGATCTCTTTTAGCCAAAAAATACCACAACACCTTAAAACTACTATTTATCAATAAATAACCAGAAATAACAAAGTTATTTAATTGATATATTTATTTATTTATTTTGAGGTCAATTAAGAATCCACATATTATATATGTTTTCTGGTGTGGGAGGAAACTGGAGCACCTGGAGTAACCCCATGGTGGAGAGGGGAGAACATCAAACATCACAGGGCACATAGAAACAAACATCCATTCATACACATTCACACTTAAGCACAATTTAGAGTCACCAATTAACCTGCATGTCTTTGGACGGTGGGGGGAAGCCGGAGCACCCGGAGAGAACCGGGACAGACACGGGGAGAACATGTAAACTCCACACAGAGACGCAGATGACCAAGGTTCAAACCCTGGACCTTCTTGCTCTGAGGCGACAGTGCTAACCACTGCGCCACTGTGCCGCCCCTCTTTTAGTTAGTGGTTTGGTATTTTTGGTCAATTTAGAATCTACATAATAAATGTTTTATGATGTGGGGGGAAGCCGGAGCACCCGGAGAGAACCGGGACAGACACGGGGAGAACATATGAACTCCACACAGAGACGCAGATGACCAAGGTTCAAACCCTGGACCTTCTTGCTCTGAGGCGACAGTGCTAACCACTGCGCCACTGTGCCGCCCCTCTTTTAGTTTGTGGTTTGGTATTTTTAGGTCAACATGAGGAGAAAATCCAACTCCACACAAAAAGAGTCAGGCCCGGGAATTGAACCAGCACCTTTTTGTGTGAGGCTGAAGTTTCATCCATATGCTCGACTGGAGCCAATCCCAGCTGACATTAGGTGAGAGGCCGGGTACAACCTGGATAGGTCGCCAGTCCAACACAGGGCACATAGAAACAAACAACCACTCACACACATTCACACAGGGGAGAAAATCCAACTCCACACAAAAAGAGTCAGGCCCAGAAATTAAACCAGCACCTTTTTGTGTGAGGCTGAAGTTAAATCCATACCCTTTTTTCCCTTGGAAAGCAAAAACAATGTATGTCAGCTTTCCATATAGCTCTTCAGGAGCTGTTCAGGTCTTGAATTTCTTGCTGTAGTGCTGCGTGCTCTCGGTCGACCTTCTGTTTCTCAGCCTTCATTGCATTGCGTGCACTTTCTAAAGCTCTTTCACTGTTCAGCTTTTCTTTGAGCTTCTGGACCTCTCGTCGAAGTACATCATTTCTTCGACTCGTGGCATCTTTTTCCGTTGTCAGCGATTTGTACAGGACCTCCAGTATTTTTTCACTTTGCAGTCTGCCGTAGAGCTCTTCAACCTCCAGCTGTAATGTGTGGTTTTGTTGGATCAAGGCTTCGTTTTCTTCTTTCACGACATCATTCCTGTCTACCAAAGCTTGTTCCTTTACAAGCCTTTTCTCCACCTCCTGAATTTCTTTTTTCAGGATTTTATTTCTGTGCGTTAGATTCTTTTTCTCTCCTTTCAGTGAGTCATAAATTGCCTTTGTAACAGTTTTGTTTTCTATCTCCTCACTGCACTGTTGGATTTCTTGATGGAGTTCATCGTTGCGTTGTCTTAAGGCTCCTATCTCCTCTCTCAGCGGACCACACTTGCGTTCATATTCTTTCATACCTCGAAACTTTGAGTGGAGCGTTGCAAGTGTTTTAAGAAGCTCATTTTGTTTTGCAGAGACAACTTTTTCTTCTGCTTTCAGGGCTTTATATTTGTCTTTCATGGCTTTTCTGTTCTGGATCCTACTGGTAAGGTCCTCAATGTCTATTTGGATGTCTTCATTTTCTCTGCACATAAATCCCATGTTGTGCAACTTCTCCCTACACATGACACCGAAAATCTTTTGATCTTCATAATCTTTGTAGAGCTTCTGGCGTTGTTCTTTCAGTGCTGCGTTCTGCTGGCTGATGGTCACTTTTGAAACTTCCATTTGCTCATTCATTTCCCGCAGAGCCTTTTCATATCGGAGATCTTTGGATATCTCCCGAATCTCTTGTCTCAGGTCGTCATTTTGCTGGCTTATCGCCTCTTTCTCTGCTTTCAGTGTGTCATACGTTTCATCCAGAGCAGTTAAATTTCTACGCTTTTCTTTGAGCTCCTGGATTTCCTCTTGTATGCTGTCATTTTGGAGCCTCATGGCCTCTGTTTCCTCCTTAATGACATTACACAATTCCTCCAAAGATGCTTCATTTTGGGGTCTTCTCCTGAGCTCCTGAATTTCTTGTCTCAACGCCTCGTTTTGCTGGCTTGCTGCTAAGAGCTCTGCTTTGACTTTATCATAGTTCTCATCAAAGGATTTATCATGTGTCATATTGTGTAGCTCCTGACGTTCTTTTTGCAAAGCTTCATTGGCGTTCAAAATGGCTTCTTTCGCCACTTGCATAGCGTTGGACATTGCATCCAATTCTTTTTGAGTTTGGCTATTTTCATGGAGCTCTGCTAGTTGTTTTTTCTCATATTGTCTAGCGTACCTTTGCAGTTGGAGATCTATTGCTTCCAGTTGTTGAATGACTGCATCCAAGTCCACTTTGATTTCTTGGTCAGATATATCTGCTTGTTCTTGGCCCAGATTGTCAAAGAACTTCTCAGAAGGGACCGTTTCCTCGATGCAGCTCATTTTTCTTCTCTCTTAACGACTGTGTTAACCACCGCTTGTTTTTCTGGGCTCTGTACACGAAGCTCAGTTGTAAATGATTGATTAGACTGAGGAGCTGAAGTTTCAGAATGTGTTCACTCTGTGGCTTTGATCTTCAGAATGTGGAAGCAGGCAGTGACATCACTTTCCCCTCAGAACGGTGTTTATGACATCATCAACATTATGACATCGTCTAAATTCTGATCGATAAAGTACAGGAAGTGAGGGAACCTTTCACACAGCATGGTGTTTATGAAATGGTAAAAAGACAGAGGATCAAGTCTGAATCTACACATTTTTATACACAGAACATATCTTCCTGTTGTCTACGTCTTCTCGCATAAGAAGCAATCAATCGCTCCCGAAATCTGGCAGCAATACTGTTTTTCCACTGTTTGAACACAAACATCCTCTCGCATTAACCCTTTCTGGTCTGCCCTGTCCAAACCTGGGCCAACGTCCCAGAGAAGTTCACACATCCTAGCAACGTTTTTGATGCAGCTGATAACATTAATATCTTGCAAGTATTGATTTATTATTTACTGGGGCTATGCTGAAGTTTGTCTGCAGAGGAGATGCTGGATCATAAGCCAGCACACAGCTGAAACACAGAAGTTTTTAGAAAGTCCACAGACCCAGGTGAAATACAGGCAGCCTCAGCCAGTAAAAGCACAGCCAGAGATGTACAGGCAGCATCAGATACAAGCAGCTCAGACCCTAATGGAGGACTGAGTTAATGCTTAGCAAGGGAAGCTGGTGAGGCACATACTGACACATTTCATAAATCAAAAATTAATGAGGGGATCTGTGCCCCAGTAGAGCTTTATGTCAAGCAACGCCCCTGAGCAAAACCACTTAAACTCAATAATATCTATGGAAAAATAAATAATATTCCTGACATCAAAGTAATGAGTGAAGAAGATATGACCCTAGTAGATTTCAGGAAAAGGTCTAAAATGTTAAATTATGTGTGAAATATTAATGCGACTCTGTGATGTGTATTAGGACCCAAAAGAATAAACACACAATTTAGTTTCTTTATTTAGATTTTCAATTAGACATTTAATCATTCAAATCCAAATATGCTTTATGTCAGAGTCACAATGTGATATATGAAATCATGATCACAATGATGCAGACTGTAGACACAAAAACAACCAACACACACACACACACACACACACACGCACGCACGCACACACGCACACACCCTCTGTCTATAGATTTTTTTGTCTCACTCATGACCAGCCTCAGGCCCGTTCAGGTTCCTGTGTGAAACTTTATACAAAGACAATATTATTTTGATTTTTCATTGAAGTTACGTAGGTTTGCGTATTTTGACTCTAATATCCTGTCTTGAACTTTCCTCACGTGGACTTAAAGGCTACGTTCACACTGCAGACCTTTTAGTTTACACGTGGCCCATATCAGACTGAAGTGTGAACTGGCCCCGGCCTGCAAGTGACCCGCATGCGCAGAAGAATAAAAGGACGTCATACGCAGCACGCTGTCGTACAGAAGGAAACGAGGAGCCATAGAGGTTAGCTCCGGTTCGCTCATACTTGCTAACCCTCGTGATTTTCACAGGAGACTCCCGTGTTTCATTGCCCTCTCCCGGTTTCCTCCCGGGCCGGGCTGTTTCAAGGCACTTTGGGGGCCCCAGGCAAAAGGGATCTGGAGGGCCCTATATCGAACTAAGCTGAACGCCCCAACCCTTCAGGAATCTCATCATAGACACAAAATTCCAATCGTCAAACTTATTTTTATCTTTACTACCAGATAAGTTTTAGAAAGTGCATACACATACATTATAGTACATAATTAAATACAAACCCCCTCCACAACCCCCCTACTATACTACAACTCACCATTACTACAGCTGTATGAAACCAATGTAAACATTTTGCTGGGATTTAATTGCAGTAAACGGATCAAACTGATGCTGAAATAACAACAATATGATGCAGATTTGTTAAACATATGAATTCATGCTTTGTCAGGTCTGACAGCAAGTCAGCAGGACAACAACTTCTAAAAGGTTTGTTTTCTGAATGGAGTTTGGATCGATCAGGGCTATGCTACGCTAACTTGTTCACAGTAAAGTACAACGATAGCTGGAATAAAGTTACAGACACATATTTTCTGAACTCACCAGGTAGTTCAACTTCCTCGCTTTCTTTTCTCCAAGTAATGCAGTGTTTTCTGTTTTTTATATAAATATGAAGTATTAGTCCAACAGAGCTCTGGGTGCCAACCGACGCTAACAACATTTACATTTATTCATTTATTTTAGCTTTTATCCAAAGCGACTTACAATTGCTATATATGTCAGAGGTCGCACGCCTCTGGAGCAACGAGAAGTGTCTTGCTCAGGGACACAATGGTGGATGGGTCACAGTGGGGGATTGAACCAAAGGCAAGTGTCTTAGCCACTGCTCCATCACCCCTTCTAACAACAACAGTGAAACCAGATGTGCATGGAAGCTAGCTGCTGAGAAGCTCCAGTGAAGATAAATCAATGTTGCCATCCCCAAAACTAAAGTGAAAAGCTAATTTAATAAAAGCAGTTTACTCCGAGCTCCTCCTACGGGTAAACAGCGTAGTTGTCAGAGTGTAATCCAAACCGACCGCGGGTGTTTATTTGTCCAAAAGCTGCAGCGCTGCTCTCTGCTCTGTCCTCGACTTCTCCAAGTGTAGCAGCTCTCTGCCGGCCAGCGGCATTTCAATCCCCCGCTCTGCCCGGCCCTCTCCACACAACGCTCTGAAGACATCGGTGATGTCAGGATGATCTCAACGCTGATAGGCTACAGCGACGTAGTGTCAAGCGACTTTCTCGCTCGAGTTGAAAATGCACGCAAAGGCCTTCTCGTTGCCGGCAGCGCCCGCTTCGCACGCCCGACAGGAATCGTGGCGCTTGTGTCTTTGCATTGACTTTGTATGTAAACGCAGCGCCCACAACGCTCACTTCGCTTTTGGTCTGTAAGCACCTTTACAAAGTTACAATCTCCTTGTTTGTTTAACGTAATGTCTGCAGTCTGTAGATGAGGATGAATCAAGTTCACCAGTTCATGGGTGCCACAAACAGGAGTCACCAAGTATTGTAGAAAGTCAGACCCACACAATGCTGAACCAGAACCAAAGACACTATCATAAAATACAGTCTGCATTATCATCTCTAATTCATAATTCTTATCATTTCAAGTTTTAACTTTCAACTTACTCTTTTCTTAGCAAACATCTCATTTCCTCTAGCTCATGTTAACTGTGAATGAAATGTAATCTGCGTTCAATAAAGTAGTAGTCATACATGTGAAACAACAAACCTGGATTTGAACATTTTTCAGTTACCTAGCCAGGTAAAACTCCCAAATTCCAGAGTGAAAACAAATGGCGTGCTTATTGTAAAACACAGGCGAGCCAACACTAGACAAAAAGGAATACACACACTTAAATACCCAAGAGAGGTGGAGGAAACGAGACACAGGTGGAAACAAAAATCAACTCAAGGACAGGAAGTGAACTGACAAAGACCCACGAGGAAGGATTTAACAAAAGAAAACAGGAAATCACCAAACTCACAACCAAAACCAGGACATCCAGGGGTTAAAGTAGTTTTCATCAGAATTTGATAAACGCCTGTTTGTCTCATGTCCACATTCTCACCAAAACACTTCCTATTCAGCTCAGTCAGGAGAGACTTAAATGAAAAAGAGGCTTAAAGAGGAATTAAAAGGAAAAGGAACAGGAGAGTTTAAGAAATGTGAGAGGGATGTATGGCCTACCTGGTGGAGGGGCTGTGACCACAGAGGCCAGAACCAGAATGGATGTGAAGGGCTCAGTGGGATCACTGAAGACTGCTTGATCCACCAGCTGCTGGAGCGAGAGAGGGAGGGAGGCCTGGAGCTGGAGTGATGCTGCAGTCTTTTATCTGGTCGGGGTCCTCCAGGAGAGAAAAGACAGTTTGAAAGTCTGACAGCAACAATATGATTGGCTCACAGAGGTTGTGGCAAATTCTGATTGGTTTAACTGAAAGAATGAACGCCCTCAATCTAATGACGGAGTTGGAAGCAGAAAAAAGGAAGAGAGGGGGCGGGGGAGAAATAGAGTCAGCATGAACGATGTCTTCCTGATTCAACTTCTGCTGAGTTTCCTTAATCTTAAAAAAAAGAGCTGCAAAGATAAAATGAGGAACCAGCAGATCTCAGAGCAGTAAAATATCATCTTATCTGTGTTCTTCAGCAGCTGCTACAGTATCACCATATTGCACCATGGACATCAGGAGTCAGATTCTGGTGGGAGAGGAGTTTGACTCTTCACCTGTCTGTTCATGTGTGCTGTCAAACATCACCATGGATCCTGTCTGTTTTCTAATAAACACTATCTGAAGAAAACAAGTTGCATCATTGCAAACATTTATCTTAACTAACAATCTTCACACCTTCAGCTTCCTCTTCTTCTTCTTTTCGCTTGGTGAAACACGTCATTGTCACAAATAGACCTGAATGAACAAAGTGTGAACTCTGATGGCTGCATCTCATGTTGCTGATCAAGAATTTGGGGTCTCTGTCAGTCACTGTGGATGAGAGAAAACTACATTTCAAAAATGTAAAAGTGAAAATTGTACAAGAAATTCAGAGAGACTGAAATCTAAAACAGACTAAAAGTCACTATGAGGAAGTGACATCATCCTAACCACAGGAAGTAGCTGCAGCGTCTCTCTACTAAAGCACTAGTTTAGAAACTCAGACAGTTCTGAGCACGAGAACAAGAGACAGAAGAAGGAGAGACTCAGAGAATCATGATGGTTGAGTTCAAATGGATTTCTTTATTTCTTACAGCGGTGCTTCAGTTTACAGGTAAGAATACATATATCACATATATAAATGGAAGGCACATTGTAAAAAATAACTTGATCAATATTATTAAAGATTCTTTATTAGCTACATTTGATTTAACTAAGAAAACCAAATCTGTTGTTTCTA